CTTAAAGATTAGGTTTCTGTTGGCATCTTATGGCTTAAAATTTTATAATGAATTGCAAGTACATTATATATTATTATTTAGACACAAAGATTTTTAAAAAATGGGTCACCTTAATATTTATGCGCCACACTAATTTTTGGATTTATGATTGGGCTGGGATACTGCCCAAACGCCCAAACTGAGGCCAATGATTTTCCTAGGGTACCATACCTCGAGCCTTTGACCCAAAAATCTGATCCACAAAAAAGTGGAGTAACATGATGAGATGCAATCCCGTAGTAGCCGTTTAAAACACCGGAATCCACTTTCCGTCCTCTTAATTTCGTAAACAACACCCCTCCCACGAGAAGTCAGTGAGTAGGAATTATCTGACAGTGGTCACATACGAATGGCCATGTGAGAGCATTTCGAGTGGAGGGGAGGACTCTCCCCACTCTCGACCGTGCCAGGTCATTTGTGGGCCGCGAGTACAACAACACACGTGGAAAATTTCGCAGATCTCACTTTAAGATCGCGAAGGATATTGGTTACAGCATGTTAACTGGCTGAAAGCACTCTAAATCTAATAGTCATTTTGAAGCTGCTTGCCAGTCATAGAATTTTCCAAATAAAGCGACTACTAAAGGTCAATCTTGAAGTTATTTAGTCAACTCGATACAACTATGGAGAATAAAGTTGTATCCAGAACATTGTTTAACAGATAATGTTGATTGATTATGTAACACAAATGAATACTAATTAGAATCAAATAAATTCAAGTGATATTCAGGGATATCGAAAATTAGGTATTAGTACTTATTGTAAGCAATTTAAAATCCTAAGTCTAATCGAATCGAAATATTTCTCTTTTTCTAGGTCAATTTATAGATTTGATTCATGTCGAAGCAGCAAAGTGTTTGCCGGAAACGAACTCTTTCATTTGCCGATATCACAGATGTAAGACACTATATGTTTACATGTCATATAAGCTTTTTGGTGCTGGTTTTTTCGGTAACGTTCCATATATGGTGTTACTCATTGCCTAATATGTCACTGTTGCTGTTTTTAGTGATTATTATCACAGATTACACTTCGATACTCTTAACTTCGGCTTACATGTTTATGTTATATCCCTCTTATTTTTCTCTTTTTTTAATAAGTCATCAGAACGAAATCATCCGTTTTGTTTTAAATGACTATAACTTTTTCAGACTTTAAGTATATATTGGTGACTATATCTGTAGATAATGGTTCCACTGGTTAAGGAATGTTACATTATCCTCACGTTTTATTGTATATTATGAAGACCAGATTTGTAAAACTTATAGGCTCTTAAAATTTGTAGTGAAAGTATATTTTTATTGAGATTTGTGAAAACTTTTCAGTTTATAATAAGCTAATGACATTTTAGACGTGTGGAAGTTGGAATAAGCATCTTAGACCATGAACTATATTTGTGTTCCGGAATTAGTCACTGCAACTTGCAGAACTCATATGATAACTGGAACCTAAATGTAACACTTTCATACAAAGGCTACAGTTTGTCTTCAGTTTCTTGTACAATATCTTTGCTTACAGTCTTGAAGTAGGGCAATCACTTATATAATTTAATCAGACTACTACTCTTCAAATTAGTATCAAGACCAAACAATAGTATTAATCGTGGTAAAACATTGAATATAGAGAATATCATTGAAACATCGCGCATGGGAAATATTATATGAAACTAATACTCATGATATAAAGAAAGTGGATATATCTATATCACTGAGATCAATATTGAGCAGTTTCACCACAGAAATGCCATTATCATCATTTTCCAACTAGGAAACCAGCTCTTCTCAACATGATACGATACACGTAGTATTATTATGTGATAGCTCCTCTCTTTTTACGAACCTACACAGGTGTTTATAGTAACCACTTTTCAACCACTCGGTCCTTGGTTTTAACCCCGCCAACCTACTTTAGTTTGTTCTCCTTGCTGGTATAACTAGCCATTACGCATAGAGTGTGACTTGAAGCCGCTTAGAAGACCTCTACTACTGAACATATCAGTGGTTAGGCTTACATGATCGATGTTCTAAACCAAGTTAGTGAAGCTTCATAAGGTTATCGGTCAGTTTACAGATTCTATCTTGTAGTCGACATTTTAATTCAGTTTTACTAATTCGGTGGTTCCAACATATGAAGTCAAATTATTGGGACTTAATCATATGTACTTTAACAAATCGTGAACACGGAATGATATAGATCCAATCGCTCTTTGATTAGCAGACAGATGAGTAAGTACATATACGACAATTGATGCGTTGCTTTATCAGTTGCTACTAGTAGAAAAATGATTCCGTTTTGGATTTTAAGTATTGATAAAGCTACTTGTTCTTTTAGTTGGTTTCAATGCATTTTTCACATTTAGTGCCGCAAAAGCAGCCGTACAAATTCAAATGAAAATCATGAGATCGATTCATCTAAACCATTCATTCGTAACATGGTACGACGTCCTTCTTTCACGTTTTTGGAACATCAAAACCTATCTCATGAACTGCCTTGTCTTTCAGAAAAACCTACATTGAAAGATTCGAATGCTCAATTCAAAAATGCCCGCGAATCCACTGAAATGAATGCTTCATTGAAACGAAATTCAAATTCTCAATCTGCTTTGGATTCGTTTATTTCCAGTGCATCGTTTATTGAATCGAATTCTGCCAATGCTACACTTAGTGCTATACAATTATCTAAAATGCATAGTAATTCACTAGGTCCTATGAACTCACTTCCGTTAAAATATGAGGAATATCTATCTCCATCATCACCCTTATCTTCAACTTTGATCAAATTGTATCTATCCAAGGTAACAGAAATTGTTTGTGTCGTTATAAATGACGATGGTTAGTAATGCTGTTTATGCAACCAAGAGAGATAATTTAACACAATTTACAATCAAGATAGTACTTATAAAATGACGTGTTGCATTCACATGAATCGAACAGTGCAGACGATAGCTAATGTAATGTTTTGGTATTTAGCATAGATAGAATTCTACCAATTAGGAAATGCTTTGTAGACCTCATAATATGTTGTACTATGTGTACACATACATTGAGCCCATGGAGCTAGTCCCACCGTTTGGAAAAATTAATTAATCCATTATTCTCGAGTTATTCACACGTCTTTCGACCTTGTCAATTACTGGCTTGTAACCTTAGTTGCTTTTATTCTAGTATGTGTGTACATGTTTACTTCGTTTTTATTAGATGTCTAGCCTATTTTTTGCCTGACTATAAAAACTTAGTTATGCCTTATGGCGTTGAGTTGGCTCCTTCGTCTTCTCGATCTCTCTTTACTTTGCTTGTAACTTTTTTATTCTCATATTTGTCTGCATAAACGATTGCCTGAAACAAATTCATCCAACTAAGTCCGTATTTGGCTACCTATTACCGCCGTTGCACAAACGGGATTTGCTTAAGTATGATATAAAGAAATTGAAAGAAAGATTTATTTCATAGCATACTTGATCATTCGTCCGAATTGGAGTCAGATATTTTAATAACATTCTATGTAGGCAAATGATTGTTATAATGATTAGCATTTACAACCTTGATATATATATATATATATATATATGTAGGTTATTTATGATATTTATGACATTTCTTGATAATTCTTTCATTTTGATCATCTGGTTTCAATAACCAGTAGTTGTGAGTTTTGTTATAACATCTTGGAGCATATTTACAGTTTCAGTTTTATAGTTTATCTCTGTTACAGGTCATTGGTTTCTTGATATACCATGTATAATGTTCAGTGGCTTATTAGATTAATTTGTAATATCTTAGGTTTAATCATTCAACACAAACTAATTAACTTAATCGTTTGTTTGAAATACAATAAACTTATTAATGTAGGTTAGATATTTTCTAAGTTTTTTTTGTAGAAGTAACCATAAGAAAGTGTTTTAATTTTTCTAGCTTCCGATTAGTTCTAATTTTATTTTTAATGGCAGTTACAGTTAGATAAGAGACATTATTGTAGCATTAATATTGTGATTAAACAGTGTGAAACTGGAAGAAAGACACGAAACCACTTGAAATGTCCATTTAAAGTAGGGAACTTATGTAAGAATTGTTTCTACTAATCCGTCATAGGTCCTATATGAGACCAACTATCGTATTCTACTTCTTACATATTTATTAATACACTGAGAGTAAAATTTTTATTCGAATCAATTTGATATATGATCTTTTCTAAATCAGTAACTGAATTCACACTAAATTCATCCTTTGTTTTTCTTAGGCTAGAAATTTAAATCGAACACGCCTCCTCATTTCTGATAAACTATTGATTGTTGTCCGAGTTTGTTTTTTTCGTTTTTATGTAGAAAGTATGGTACACGTACCGGTGTAAAATCTTGTATTTTATTATGTATCATTAACTTATAACTTCTTGTTTAGGAATGTGTATTAAAGAAGATCTATTTTTGCTGAAATTTGATTAAAACCAATATAGATTAGGAAGTATATCATTCATTATTCTGAAAATGACTATATTTTCGAAATCTAATTATTTATACTCCTTGTTCATCCAATATTATTATTATTATTATTATTGTTAGCGCTATTTTTTAAAAATTTATTTTCAGGTCTCTTTATGCTCATCTACAGAGGAGATATTAGAAAATAATTTAAATTTTAATAATGAACAAGTTAATTTGCATAATAGTTATTATATACATCAAAATTTTATTTGTCTACCTGGATGCTTACAAATTATTTCCTATTCATTAATAGCTTCTATGATTATGCCTATTCGATATTTTATTAGCATCAATTCAATAACTAATGGAATGATATCATCAAATTTGAAAAGATTATCTTCAATAAATGAAAATGTAAAAATTCATTCTTTCAAATCATCATCATATAGTGATACAAGTAAATATACTACTGATTTGAATGATTCAAGTTCTTCTACTGAATCTTCATCAAGTCTAATAGACGATATTTCAAATGGTTATTATTCTGATAATTATCTTAATAATAATAATAATGAAGCAGTGAAACCAATAAAAACGAATCAAGTGATAAATCATCACTGGCCAACAACAACAACAACTGTACAATTTCAACATCAATCTAATCGATTTTCATTACTTTCAGGTAGATTTATGCTCCTTATAAATATTGATTTTGTTTATTGAAAATTTCATTCAGATATATTCGGTAATAATTCTTATATTTTCCAATAGTTTTAAACTAATATTTTAATTATGATTGTCTTAGAATTTCAAATTTAATGTCTTACACACTAGCATCATTGATTGTTATAGAATTTTCGTTACAATTGTGAATAGGCGTAAAAATTTGAAATATCGGATTATCTGTATGTATGAAACAATCTTTTGTGATGGTTAACTGTGCTTAACAACATAAATGTTGAAAGTGAACCTACGGAAAACATCAGTAATTCAGTAACCAATTATCTACTTGGCTTTGAGCTATAGATTATATTTGTTCATTAACGGAATGCACTCTATCTATCGGAGAGGATTGTGTTAATCTGAATCTCATTAGTTGAAAGTCAAGGTCTTTAACTAGTTTTCTTACCGTTTTAAAAATAACTTTAGGAGTTTAAAATGTGGTCGTTATTAATAATATTTTTTGTCATATTCAAGCTCTCTATATTGATTATTATCAAATTTGAATCGGAGTTATTTAGGTATAATCACATCCGTTCCAGTGTAACTCAATCTCTTACTATTTCAATAAAGTTAATGTTTTAATCATTCAAATATAATTATCATGTATTTTTTGCAGTATATAAAATGAGTTTAGAGGGTGAGTCAGTGTTCATTAGCAGTTTGGTTTTTATTTTCTTTCTTTTTAGGAGGAAAAATAACTGGGACACAGTGTATTCGTAATAATAAGAAGGTCTTCTTTCCATCGTTGACATTTTCACACAATCTGATCCTACTAATTTTGTTATTGTTCTAAAAAAAAACAACCTTCAGTTATTCTGTATTCCCTAGTAAACAAGAAATACTTATTGCAGGCTTTTGTCTGTTGGTGAAAGCCTGTCAATATACATGGAATATTGATACGATGAAGATTTGTAACTCAAACAGATGATTTCGTTGAAATGGCGTTCTCTGAGCTTAGAGAACGCGATTTCAACAACGGAAACAATGTTCGGTGAAGAATTAAACAGTGCAAAACGGTATCACAATAAGCATTTTACTAATTAAGAAAAAATTTCTTTATCCACTCTATTCATAACAAATGCTTAACATTCTTCCGTTTGCTGACTAAAGGGCGAGTGTACTGCGCAGTGGTTCGCTCCGTCTTACTTTATGGCTGTGAAAAATGGCCAATGAGAGTAGAAGATATTCGTAGGTTACTGGTTTTTGATCATAGGTGTCTTCGAAGCATTGCTCGTATATCCTGGGACACCCGAGTGAGCAACGCTGTTATTAGGAAACGGGTGCTAGGTAAGAATGGCAGATCAACAGACGCAGTAGTGACACTTCATCAGTTGAGGTGGTTGGGACATGTGTTGCGTATGCCCAACCACCGACTGTCTCGTCGAGCTTTGTTTTGTAGTGTAGGAATAAGTTGGAAGAAAGCTAGGGTCGGCCAAACTAAAACATGAAGTCACTGACGAGTGGACTTAACCATGTCGGTAGTTGTCAACTACCTGATTGGGGTCCGCGAGATGATAATAATCGATGGTTAGAGACCCTGAATGACATGGCTCAAAATCGTTCGCAATGGCGCCGGTGCATTTATTCTTTGTGTTCTCTCAAATCCTAATCTTCTGGATTCTTCAACCCCTCTAGTTTTGACTTTCTAAACTTTTCTCACTGAATCATACTTCTTGAATAATATCTTCTAATCCTACTCTCTCCGATTACTTCTAATACCTTTACTACCTCTGCTACTATTGGATTTGAATTGACAATTATACCTCTGTGCTGATGTGGTATGACAACATGAACTGATGTACTTACGTACGAAGTTCTACGTTGCATCTGACTGACTGCTTAACATTCTATTCTACTGGTAGACTATTGATGAAATTCTAAATATTTCATGAATTAATTTTATTATAATTTAATTAGTTAACAATAACAAACTTAGATTTAAGTAAATATGAATAAAACGATTTATATAACAGTAAACGTAATGGATAATCACTAACAAATCTCCAACGATTAACTTCTAAGATTAGTTCCATTCAACATTAAATCTGTGAATACGACTTATAACTCATCATTTTTTCTCAGACAATTTATCGCATAAAAATAAACGTAAAAAGTTTCTTTTCAAAGAAAAAATAAAAAAAAAGCCGGTTTAATTATTAGTTTGTAGATGCATTGGCCAAAGAAGCGAAAAAGTTCATTGATAAAACACTAGGAGAAATCATGAATTTATGACATCATATGACAATCTAAATTTCATACTTTGAAAGTAAATACAAGTGAATTTCGTTGTGTTTTTTTTAGTTCTGTTTTGTTTTTCTAATCAACGATCATTCATGGTTGATTTGAATATTCCAATTTTCTTATTGTTTAATTTCGCCATCTCATTCTTTACAAATTATTCTGTTTTTTTTTCCGGATATTATTTCAAGGTGAAAAGTGACACTAATGACTTAATATGAATACAGTAGTCCACTCAAGTTTTCATTTTTGCAAAATTTTAAAGATTTTTTTTCATTGATTAATATTTTTTACTTGATAATTCAGGTGTCCTCTGTATTTTCTCTTAATTTTTCTCTAAAACTATCACTTCTTAGGTGGAAATTCAAAGTCAACTTCAGCGTGTAATCATTATGTCAACCATCATCACCATCATCATCATCATTATCGTGATACACGTCATCGTAAATTTGGTTTGACAAATGTGTATGCAGGTTTAAAGTCTGATGAAGTCAGTAATACTTCTACAATCCCTTCAAATCTATCTCAATCTCACAGTAACAATCTTGACTTATGTCTTAAGTCGAACACTATCATCAGTAATAATAATAATAATAATAATAATAATAATCAGTCAAGTATTGTATCACCACCTCAAGATATTAAAAATTATAATCCATTAGAACTTTTTTACAATTTATGGATTAATTTTCAATCACAAATAACAGAGGATAAATTTTATTATATGGATGAAAAATCATTAGAACGACGAGTACGTGCACAAGCATCAAATATTATTGCACCTGTATCTTTTTAATGATACCTTCATATTTTGATCGGTATATGTGATGGGATCTGAAAACAATTTCATTTAATCATTAAAATAATGATAATAATCATATTTTTTGTTGTTAATTACGATAAATCATAATTGAAAATGCTTGATTTTTCGCTATTGTATGTTACACTCTCTTTTTTGAAATTGTATCAAGATGACATTGACAAAAAAGTGTTCATTTCAAGTGTTGGTGTGTGTGTATATTGTGTCACCTGACAAGAGAGAATGTGTATCTAATTTTAGCACTATATCTTCAATTTGATTTTGCGGCGAGCTGCCGACAATACTGTACTCTCTCCATATATATTTACTAATTATTTTTCATTGTGTAACAATTAATATCCGAATTATAGTGTCTATCCTCATTCCTTCTACATATTTCGTGTTTTTAGCTTGTTATCTTAAGCTTCGTTTTATTTTGATCATGTTTTTAGTCTTCTCTTATGAGTAGCGTTATTATTTACCATTCCTTATTATTATGTATATATAGATTCGTATATGTTTGAGTGTTGTTGATATTTTCCCCATTTTTGTAGTGTTCTCACCTTTTTCTCTTCTTTACGCACATTTATCTATTTTTTTAAAAATTATACTTATGTAAATATATAACATTAAAATTTCATTTCTTTTTTTTAAAAAAAAAGAAAATGGTTTTTGTATTTGGCTGAATAGATTTTTATGCATTGGTGAACTTTGATCCCGAATAACTGCAATAGGCTATACATGACATCATACAACTATGTAAGTTATGAAATAAATTAAAGAGATCTATCCAATGCTTTCTGATGTTCAGTTGCTGAAAGATATGCTATATTCAAGTTTGGCACTGGTATTAGTATGCCAGTGACATAAATAAGAATGATGAATGAAAAATATGCCTTAGCATTAGTTATAAATATATATCATAGATTGTTTACATTCATATGCTACAAATACGTATTCTATTTTAGATTCGCTTGTTTAGTAATTCATTGGATACCCCTTCATGCAGCGTCATGAGACAAGATCAGTATAAATTGTCTTGTGATGTTACCTACTGCTGAAATGATGTGTCTCTTATGGCTTTAGTCTTTATTTTATAGCTTAAATTTTACTACACTTACAAGATTCAATCATTGACACATGTGGTTGCGTTTTTAATTTAAAATGTGTATGAATTTATGTATTTAATCTTTTATATATGTGTGTTGGATTATCGACCGAACGGTGTCCATTATATTGGGTGGAGAAGCTTTCTTAAATATTACCTAAGTCCATATAATACTTGGCTTTATTATACATACTAGCATTTAATCATAATCATACGAGATGATTTGGCACATTTGACCGCATTCACACTACTCAAAGAATGTAGAATGACTTTATTTAGTGTTGTTTCCGTTTATCTATGCGTATTAATAGTAGAAACTTCATAACAAATTACCCAACTATTTAATTGTTAGTAGGTGAGAAGGAGTGATTAGTATTAACTAGCATTTAATTGTCTTCAGAAATTATGATCTTTTACAATAGATGTTTAAGCTAAAATTCTATTATAACTTCGTTTTTGTCTGATTAATCTTCTGCGTATGCCAACACGAGTTAATGCATATCATTAACAATGTCATTATGTATGGTCTTTTTTTATCTTATATTGAAATCTACGACACTTACTGGAGTCAGTCAGTTAACAACTTAAAACTCCGTTCGTAAGTACATCAGTTCGGGTTGCCATACACTATTAGCACAGGGACACAATTGTCAATTCAAATCCCATAGTGGTAGAAATAGTAGAAGTATTACTGGTAATGGAGAAGATTAGGGCTCGAAAATATTATTCAAGAAGTATAATTCAGTGAGATAAATTTAAGAAGAGAAAGGTAGATATGATGAGAAATTCAGAAGGTTAGAATTTGAGAGAACACAAAGAGTGGATGCACCTGCGCCATTGCAAACGATTTTAGCCACGTCGTTCAAGGTCTCTAACCGTCAATGACTTTCGTCTCGCGGACCCCGACCAGATAGTCTACACTTATCAACATGACTCAGTCCACCTGTCAGTGACTTCATGGATTTGTGCCATGTTTGGCCGCTCCTAGCTTCCACACAACCTACTCCTACACCACAAAACATAGCTCGTCGAGGCAGTCGGTGGCTGGAAATTCGTAACAGATGTCCCAACCACCTCAGCTGGTGAAGTTTCACTACTTCATTTATTGATATGCCATCCCTACCTAGAACTCGTTTCCTAACGACAGCATTGCTTACTCGGCTGTCCCAGGATGCATGAGCAATGCTTCGAAGACATCTGTAATCGAATACTAATAACCTATGAATGTTCTCTACTCTTACGGGCCATGTTTCGCATCCGCATAGTGAACTATCTCACAGTACACTCGTCCTTTGGTTAGCAAACGGATATCTCGCCTACACCATAAGTGACGCAGGTTGGAAAAAGCCAATCGAGCTTTCTGTATCCGTGTTGAGATTTCGTCAGTCACCATGCCATTGGCACTGATGAGACTCCCGAGATAAGTGAAGCTGTCTACACGCCTGACTACTTCACTCCCTATCACTAGTTCAGGTACCGACGCAAGCCAATCTTGAAGCGACACTTTGCATTTCGAGTGGGAGAACCGCATCCCGAATATGCTTGCATTGTTGCTTAGAGTGGTCAGAGGATTCTGCATTTTGTTAGCGTCTTCATCGAATAGATCTATGTCATTGGCATCTAAGTGAATAAGCAAACCTCTTGGTAAAACGTCCACCCATAAAAAGTCTGACGAGGATAATGTTGACTTTAAAAGCATGTCTACGACAAAGTTAAACAAGAATGGGTAGAGTGGACAGCCCTAATGGACACCACTTGATGTAAAGAATTCCGATGACGGTTCTCCATAAACCCTCACTCGACCAGTGGTGTTTGAGTAGAGAGCCTGTATAAGGTTAATGTACTTCTTTGGTACACCTTTTAATGACAGACGCTGCCACATAACCTCACGATCAACAGAGTCAGATGCCGCTTTGAGGTCGAGAAATACTACTATTGCGGGGCGTTTGAACGTGTGCTTACGTTCTAGAACCTATCGTATTATGAATATCTAGTCTATACATCCACGTCCAGGTCTGAACCCAGTCTGGTTTTCTCGAGTCTGCTCTTCACGAGCTTTCGTTAAGCTTCGAAGTATTATTGAGGCCAATATTTTAGATACTATATTAGTTAAACTGATTCCTCTGTGATTGTCACAAAAAGACTTTTGTCCTTTCTTGTAGACTGAGAGAATCAGGGGTTGAGACCAGTCAAATGGTATTACGTCTAGTTCCCAGATTCTACCTAAGATCTCAGTCAACCTAGCTGCCGAAACTGGACCACCATCCTTAAAAATCTCAAGGGTAAGTCTGTCAAGCCCCGAAGCTCGCCCCCGCTTCAGATTTCCTATAGCTTTCTCAGCTTCATAAAGATTCACAGTACTTATATCGATTTGCCATTCAGAATGACTGGAGATCGTGGGCAACCGAAGTATGACTGAAAGCCAGTTGAACTGATCTTTGAAGTGCTCTGCCCATCGATCCAATCTCCTGGATTGAGAATGAATGATACAGCCATCCTTTTCTGAAATAGTTTAGCTAACAGATGGATTTCTAATACCGGTTCCCTTCATAATTCGGGACAGCTATCTGCTGTTGCCTACCGCCGCTGCCTTTTCGAGCATTCATCAGTTCGGTGGATGCTTCTGATATCCACAGCATCTTCCGAGCCATATGGTTTACCTTACTAGCAGATATCACCGCCGTTTCCACAGCCTTTTTGGTATCATTCCAATCAGCCTCCGGATGGGCATCTCTTACTACAGTGCTGCCTAACTTCTTTTCTAGTTGTTCCTGAAAGATATTCATAACTCTGCTTTCATTATGTATAAGAATATGCTAAGAATAGGCGGTTATCTGAGCATAGTTGCGAAAGAGAGTCGCCATGAACTGTTCTTTTAGCTGCGACACCATACGATTCACACAGGTGTCTTTCCGTTTCACTGAGTCTGCCTACGTGAGCATTGAAGCCGCTGCCACTATATCAGATAGCTTAAATTTTTGAAGGTGTTCCGAAGGCTTTCTGTAAAATTCATCTTTCACCTCGTCTGAACTGCTTTAGACACACTTGTGTGAAGGACCGAACTGGAATCAAATAACTGTTCGATACAACATTATTGTATACACTAGCGTTTCTTGAGTCATAATGAAAACTATTTTCAAACTAAAAACGTCGCGAACCAATTAAGAAGTTTAGTAATCGTTTCCATCAAAATCCTAATAGTCTGAATTGGCCTCCATGACATTATTTCACGTCTGGCAGTCAAATATCCTTTTACTCACTCAGTAAGAAAAAGATAAAAATATTCGATACTTTCATTGTAGATTATACTAGATTTCCTATTTAAAATCAAGTGGCATTAGTAGTTTATGTACGATAAGTCACTAATTTTTTCTTATAATCGTTTAGAGTTATGGAATAACCAATCTAACAATGTCAATGTTAGACCTGATATTTTGTAGCATAGTTGTTTGACGTTAGACATGTAAATCGTTGAATCAATGGTCCAAAGATTAGCTTCTGTGCGCAAGATCGATGGTCTTGAGTCTGGTTTCTGATTTCACCATCATCTATACGTAATGTTGAGTCTCATAGTTGGACTAAACTATCATCCTGTGGTTTCAGCTTTTTAATTGTTTTCAAACTTTGATCGCTTGATGGTTACACTGGTATTACAAAACGATTTGATAAGCTGTTGTTTTTTATATTGTTGAATAGTTCAAGATAATAGTGGACAACTTCGCAATGCATATTGACTTATCAACTCATACTGATTTATTGTAATAATTATTTTTTATCTAGATATTCTTATCTAGATAAATTTCTATTCAGTTCAAAACATAATGTGGGTTTTTATTGTATTGTTAATTGAAGATTTATTCGATGGGTTTATCGGTAAGAAATGATCTAAAGAAAACAGTAAGCTTGTTAACTTTTAAGTACTAACTAT